GTAAATTCAAAATCCGATACATAGAAAATGCCGTATAATTAAACTTGTATTTAAGTATGATACTTCACTCACTTCTTTTTCATTAGAAATAGTTTCTTCTAAATACGTTTTTCATGCTCTTCATTTATCGTTCTGTAGTTAAATTTGTAATAGTAATATCAAAATCACGAAGCATCATTTGTGCCTTTGATGATAACTCGCCATTTTCAGATGCAATCTCTTTCAGTAACTTTCAAATCTTTTTCTACTTGTTCACGTTGGGAGAATCTGTATTCCAAAAGTTTAAAGAATCTAATAAATCCGAATCCGATTGCAAGGACGTCTCTCAAAACTTCGCGACTATTAATCTAATCACAAGCATAAATTATTTTTGTTATTTCTTTATTTTTTTTTTACAAATCAATAGGGGAAGGCAAATAATACCATAGCGCAATAGCTCACAAAAGGTTAAAAAAATAAAATAAAATAGAATAAAAAATAAAGTTAGTATTTATTCGATTAGCAAGTAATATATTTAACAGTAAAGAATTAGCGCGCTATTATCCATTGACAACACCAAGGAGGTACGAAACCAAACAAGGATTTACAGGCCCGTGAACAACTTATTCGCTTTTTTTAATCAATATCAATTTAGTTGACAACACCAAGGAGGTACGAAACCAAACAAGGCTTTACAGGCCCGCTAACTGATATAAGATTGAAAAATAATACGTATACCTTCAAAAGAACTTTAAAAGAAGAATAATAATGATCTGTTATTTCAAACGGGAGTGATGCGCCACGAAGTGTGTAGTTACAGCGTTACTTGGATTTTATATATAGTTAAACACACATATACTGAACGTGGATAGTTTTGAGATGGTCTAAAGCGTGGTGATTTTTTTTTGATGCAGTTATGTGCGTATTATGTTATAAAGATATCAAGAAGTGAGTGAAGTATCATACTTAAATACAAGTTTAATTATACGGCATTTTCTATGTATCGGATTTTGAATTTACCAACTGTTATCCGGCATTTGAATTTTATCATTTTTATGCACGTGAGTTACACACGTTATCCGAATTATTTTAAATCCGTACCGGATTTAAAATATATTCGAACAACGTGTGTACTCACGTGCATAAAAATGATAAAATTTCAAACCGGTCAACAGTTAGTATGCAAAATCCAATAAATATAAATGCCGAATAATCCAGTTATTCAAGCACGAAGTACTCATAACTACGGTACAATAGTGTTCTAATTCTAGTAAAGCGCTATCGCGCTTTACTAGTATTAGAACACTATTGTACCTTACCGTTATTTGCCATATGATTTGACTGGTCGAATTTTAAGCACCTTCGGTGCTTAAATCGACCAATCAAATAACATACAGCAAATAACTATTAATTATTTAATATACTGTACTTAAATAATATAAAACTTTAAATACTTCTTTAACCTAAGGTCAAATATTGCTATGGTCAGTTAGTCATGAATTAATTATTTTATTAATACATATTTATTGTTTGAATATCTATAAAATTTAAATAATTTAAATTTTGCTGCTTGTAGAACCGTTTTAATAAACATTATAAAGATTTATCGAAAAAGGTATAAGATGTGCACTTACAATATATCCATTATTTTGCACTTGTTCCTGATAATTTAAAATTTTAATTCTTAGAATGATAGTAAAAAAAAAAGGCCAAAATTGATGATTATTTTCTCGTACGCAACATCATTCCTCAAATGAATAAGTGCTGTGCATTTAAACCCCAATGATTCCTGCATTTCTTTTGTTACACATGACATATCTTGTGAAAGTTATAAACGAGTTATCTTTCAATGGTCTAGTGCGAGCAAAAAGAAAAAAACCTGTATGTTATACAAATTTACTTTGGAATTCTAATATTATAGAGTATTCGTGTAGATAAGGATGATTAAGAATTTAATTCAATGGTGTGAATGTCAAATACGTGGATAAAATCTGATTTTATTTATTCTAAAGATCTGAAATTATAGATTTCTTGTGGAGCTATGACAATATTTTGGACATGCGGACGGATTTTGAAGAAAAAGATGAACTAACTGAAGATGAATTTAAAAAAAGATATTATGACTATTTCGCAAATACATGCCATAAAGTAATTTTTCACAAAAATTCTTTTTTATTAAACAGATGAGATATTGTAAACATAAGTTTGTGTAATTCTTCTTCAATGAATAAAGTAGTTTTCAACAAATTACAACTGCGCAATCTCAACATTCGCCTTATATTAATATTGATGGTCTTAGAAAGTAGATTCAAAAAAATTATACGAATAATTTTTGTTTCTTATTTATTAACATGTTAATTTCACATTTAATGTAAACTCATCACTATAATATCAAATCTTCGATCAACCACAACTATTGAAAATTTTAACACTGAACAAACTGATTTTATAAAATGAGTATTAGAAATTAAGCTCATGCTATTTCAAGCTGGCCATGGAGAAAAACCCCGATTTGCTTATAGATGAGAACACATACACAGCAACGATAATATCACCTGATTTTAAAATTTTAAAATTTTCTCTTTCATATCAAATTTTTCAACAGGAATGATAATGATGTTCCCATCAAAATGGCATCGTGAAATTGTTTATAGTGACGAAATGTTTTTATGTATAAGGCAGATGGTATTTTTTTTTAATTATATGAATATTAGCCAAGAATTTTACTTTTTGAAAACATCGGCTCCCCATTAAAGACAAAAAATCCCAAATAAAAGATGATCTTTTAAAATGCTTCCGAAACTCTAAGATGCATTGATTAAAAGTATTACGTATTAGCCTATGTATTGTATAGTATGTTTTTAATTGTTATTTTCTATTATTTATATGTTACTAGCTAAGGTAATGTTTTTTTTTTCTTTTTCCTTTATGCGAGTAAATATATTAATTACATGTAATTAGGGTTGCACTAATATTTTTGTGATTAGATCATTTCGAGTCCAATCTAAATGTTTTCCATGATTACTCTAAGTCATGTATGGAAACGTCGTTGAAAAAATTGATTCCTTACTGGAATGCATATTTAGTATCATAATAGTTTTATAAATAAAGGTCCCTTTTAATTTGATTACAATAATTTTGTAGTGTGTATTACATTCGTATTGCACTCTTTAGTAACTACTGCACAAATAAGATCCTACTCTACGTACATTGAAATTGATATACATCATTCATAAATTTAAGAGTAATGCAAGTTATTTCTCGATCGATGAAAATTTATGAAAATGTATAACCCTTTTTATAACTTATGTATATATGTTTTTATTTCATACATTAAAATCGGTTCATTTGATCAAATATTACTTTTATGGTAAAAATTGTAGAAAATTGTGAGGAACGTTAATTATAAAATATGTATTTAAACACTTTGAAAAACCACTGAATAAAGTAGCTTCACTATGAGTTTAAAACATGAAAGAATGGTAGTAGCAGTCCCCCTTGAGTGTTCTTTAATTCTAATTTTTTATTAATCAATTATGACACTATATATCTTTCATCTAATTTCGTTTTTGTCTCTAGTAAGCATGGTTATTAAAGATAGACTATTCAAGTCCATGGAGGGTCACAATTATTGAGTATTGCCAAGTGAAAACCGGAATGCATATCATATTTCTATTTATATTTTTGAATTAGTAAATATTTCCTACTTTATTTAGGTCGTTCTCAAGCGCCTCAATCAATGAGTCAAAAAATATCGGGGAATAAATTTTACTTAGCGGAAAATATTTAAAATTAATTAAGCGTGTTTATCATTACGATGAATAATGTGTA